ACCAAGTGGACATAGCAAATGGAAATGAGACCTGGTATCCCAAATCCCCAAATGGCGCAACGGCTTTCCTTGGGGTTTCCCTTTTTTCTCAACTAAAAGAGGGTTCCACAAAAAAAAAAGACACACCCAAATGGAAGAAGAGAGAGTCTATCCGCTTGGCAATTTGATCACCGGAAGTTCCTCGGATTCGGAAACCGGAGGCAGGTCCAGAATTCATTTGAAGCCTTCCGACCTTCTCTCGTTCTTTTTGGGCGTCATGTTTTGCTTTTTGCTGCAGGTCCTATGGCATGTTGGGTGTGTCGCTTTTTGAGGCTCTGTACCCATTTGTTTGCAGCCTCAGGGAAACCCACAAAGGAAAGCCGCCATATCTTTGGGGTCCAAACCCCAAAAGAAGACACCCCCCCATATGTCACATCTACCAAGAAGAACTCCAACCCAATCCAAACCCATCCCCAGCCAGGCCTTGTCCGCAGCCTGAAACGCCGCCTCCCCGGTCCATCTGGCGCTCATGTAGGAGTCGCACTCCGCTTCCACCACCTTGTTGGCCATCAGCCAATCGCAACACGTCAGGCCCAAGCCGTTCGACACGTTCCAGCTGTCATAGACCTGGGACCAAACAAATCGCAGCGCTTCTCGTGACCAAAAAAAAGCAGCGGTTCTCGTGTGGAAAACCCTGGGAGGCACAGGGAAGTCACCTTCAAGGACAATGAGCAGGCAACTATTCCCATTTTGCGGATTCTCAAAGGACCTCAAACTGGAAAAAATCGAAACTGGGCTATCCGTTTTCTGATCCCTAGCAAAAAGTGAATAACTTGTGGGTTAAATGGACACCCAACCACTAAACCCTGAAAGCCTAAAAACCCAAGGGGACGACTGCGACCACCAGGGAAAAGAAGCTGCCATCTCGTCAGCTGGGGTCATTATTTTGGTCGTTCTCTGGGTGGTAAGTCAGAAGCTGGTTGGTGGCTTCCCTTTAACCTACCGCTTGGGGGTGACTTTGATAGTGGTGACAGGCCAGAGAAGCTTGCCAAAGAAATGCGGCTCCCTGATCCTGGCAGCTGTCCAACGTCCGATCCTAGCGCCTGTCTGCCAAGCAGAATGGCGTACCAGCCTAAACCCCCATCCATGTACCTCTTTTGGTCGATTTCCAAGCAATGAACAACAACTCCGGCGTTCCCATCCAGAAAATCGTGGAGAAAAAAACAACGCCCAGGTATCAGACTAACCCGGACCTCCCCAAAGGAACCTCATCTCCTTTTGAACCCTCCTGAACCCCCCCCCCCCAACCACCACCCCGAAGGAGACAATCGATTTCTGGGCCTATCTACCAACCATGGCGCTTGTGCTTCAGTCCCTGGCATTCGTCCCATCCACAGAAACCCTGGCTTTCCCACCATGGCTTCTAACTGTTGGGGATTCAAAAAGAACACACACACACACACACACACAAAAAAAAAAAAAAAGCAGAAGGGGAAAAAAACTTCCGAGCAAAAATTCATTCCGTTTTCCGCTCCTTTATCGCGCCTGCTTCAGCTCCTGCCGGATCTCCCAGGAGTAGTGGGTCCCCATGCGCGACCGCTGCGCCAGGGTGCACGCGAGATCCCGCTCAGCCACACGCAGCAGCTCCTCCACCGAGGGAACTCGGAAGGCCTCGCAGGGACGGTGGGGTGGGGTTGGGTTTCACAGGGAACCAAACCCGTCTCTGGGGGGTTGGACAAAAGGGAAGCCAGTTTTGGGGGGTTGGTTTTTGGAAAGCGCGTGATGGCATATGAAGCCGCAAAATGTGAAATTGACTTTTGGGTGTCCGAAACGCAAAAGGGTAACAAAAAGGGTAGCACCAAGAAAACACATCCAAAGTTGCCGAAGAAAATATGGCTGCAAATGGTGTGGAGGGGAGGGAGGTTGGGATTGCCTTGAAATTGGGGCGCCAAAACGGGGCAAGCCTATGGTGGCTCAAACCGAAGCAAAGCAAACTGAAAAGGGTAGCCTCAATAAAACAGACACCCAAATGATAAAAACAAAAGTGCCCAAACCCGGGAGGTGTCTTGGCTTTGGAATGGAACCCACGAAGCCGCCAAACGTCACGCCGCCAAAGACGCTTTTTTGTTTTCAACGCCCGCCGTGTCCGGCACACGCGTGGAGCAGAAGTCCAGAAACCCCAGGTGGGCGCCGCCAGCGGCCGCGCCGGTCGCGCCGGTCGCGCCGGCGGCGGAGGACCTGGCGGCGCGGTGCACCGTGGGGAAGGCCCGCAAGATCCGCTTGGGGTCGCCCTGCTCCAGGCCGTTCCGGATCTCCAGCTTCACCTGAGTCCCAAAACATGTGTTCTTTTGTTCCCCGGTCGGTTGGTTTTTTTCTTCGCACCCCTCACCTGGGAAAAAAAAATCGGGCTTTCCTGATGGTTTATTTGTTCCGTTTTTCAGGTGTTGTTAATTAAAAAAAAATGATTGGGTTCGTTCAGATGATGGCTGAGGTTCTATGGTTGAGGTACCTCTCTGAAACCCAAGCTGTAAGATGGTTGAGGCTACAGGCTTTACAAGTGCTAGCTGAGGGTGGCGGAACGCCAATGGGGTGTGTGCGCGCTGGGCGCTGGGGCTGGCGGCTAGGGGTTGAGGGCAAATTGCAGTACCCGTCAGGCAGCCCAGTTTTCGTTTTGGCCTCAAGGAAAATTGCCCTGGGGGTTAGCACGGGGCAGAATGCCTGCTCACTTATTTGACCGGCCAAGCTCAAACTCGGTAAACAAATTGTTGCGCAAATGGAAAATCTGGCCAGGAAAGTACTAGGACTAGCAGTACAAACGCTTGTTGTCGAACGCCCTCCAATTTCGGAGCCCCGCAAGCCCGGCATTGCCGCGGCGGATCAGGTCAGAACTGACGAGCAGATTAAAAACGCCTTGCAAGCGCACAAAATCCCTCGCCTCGGCTGTAACCCTCCCCTCCCTCCCTCCCCCCCCCCGTCCCCCAGCAAAAAAAGGGAAAGCTCCGCGGCCGAAAGAGGAGAAACTGGCGGCCGGGCCGCGAAATCGCTGCTCAGCACCCGGCCGGACTCGTGCACATCGTACATTTCGAAGAGCTGGCGCCATGCCTATCCGGGGCTCGGAACCGAAACGGACATTTGAGTTAAAGGGACCCCTCTGGTGGGTTCCATGTTAGCAGAGCCCCACTCAGAACCCAAAATATTTATCATATCTTTGTGGAAAGATCATGGTGTGGCACTCTTGTTTTCGGGTACCATCTGCTATGGAACCCACCAGAGGGTCCCTTTTTGGTTTTTCAGGACCCCCGAGTCAGGTTGCATGGGAGCGTTTCTTGGTGAGTTTTAAAGGGAAACCAAAAGAGAATGCGAAACCGGGGGTCCGTGAAAGTAAGCCCAATGGAAATCTGGGTTGGAGATCGAAGCATCGTATCGATAGAAAAGTAACATGTCTTTTCTTGGGAGCATCTCCCCCAAAATGGCGGTGCTCAACTTTTGGCCTTCCCCTCAACCCACAAAAAGGGGGGAACCCTTCGCCTCGGAGAAAGAAGAAAAAACAAGAGTCACAAAAAAGCCTCCGTCCGAGTCGCTGGAGCGTTTTTTGTTTTCCTCCCAATTTTATTTGCTTGGCAACAAGTGCAGAGGACTTCTTCCCGGAACCCAAGAAAAAAAGAGGCAGAATAAATCGAGAAACGGTTTGGAAAAGCACGTTTGGCAGAGCGCAACAGGTTGGGTCGTCGTTCAATCGACAAGATCCTCTTTCCGTGCCCCGCCATCCGGGTCTTCGAACAGGTCGTGACCCCAGTGACCCGAGTGTCTCCCTCGCTGCTTTTTGCGGTCCCCCAAAACCCGGAAGAATTCCTCCCGACCCAATTTCCGCCAAGTAAGCTGCACCTCCAACAGGGCAGACCCGCTGGTGGGACTCGACTGCCACGCGCATCCAATCAGCGAGTTCACCGAGGCTTCTTCCACACCCATCCGATCATCCGACGGACTCCGCTCCAAAACGAGTCCGCTTTGGCGGAGGAAAAAGGAGCCCAGGAGTCGGCGATATGTTTGAATGAAAGACAAATTATGTGATGTTTGTTTGGTATTCGGTTTGGGTGTGTGCATGTGTTTTTGTGTGTGGTTGTTCTCCGTGTTGCAGCGTTGTCTCCGCAATAAAATATCTAGATGATAGATACATCTCGTGTCCAAGTACTGTCTTCGAGCATCTCCGGAGTGGTGGTTGCATGGAATGTGAGCCGCACCAGTGGAAAAGGCTGGTGATCAAGCTAAGGTTGCAGAACTTGCTAGGCAGTGCAAAAAGTGGGATATCTCCAGTAGCTCCTGGTCCAACACATCTACGCATCTGAAAGGGCTCCATATTCGAAGTGCTGCATCTTTATCTGAGCAAGAGCCATGCAGCAAGGCGCCAGCGATTTTGAGAAATAGGCCTCTGAAGTCCCTGGCAACTGTTTGATGACCATCGAGATCGGGCAACCCACAATTCGTGAGAAACTTTGAGCAGACCCCAAAGTGCAAAGCTCGGCGCGCGATGCCCGCTGAAGAGGTCGCTGCACAAACTTCACTTAGTGAACATAAAGTGACAGCCTCTACTGGGCTGTCCGTTTTCTGATCCTGCCAAAAGGCGAACTTGTGGGTTAAAATCGGAAACCCAACCACTACAGCAACTAAACTGCTAAAAACCTCAGGGATGGCAAGCTGAACTGGTCTGTGAACATAAAGGCCAAGCTTCTGGGCTGTCAATTTCATGTCGGCCAAACTGGTCAGGCAAAAAGGTGTCGACAACTCAGACTACCTAAAATGGAAACCTCCGCATCGCCGCATCCACATGCGCAAAGCCTGACTAATCTAGAAAACAAACAGTTTGGATGTGGCGAGCAAAGGTTCCGGTACAGCCTGGTGTTCAAGAAAGTCTGGGCTGTTCATTTGGCTAAACGGGATCCCATGCTCAAATTCGGGATCCCGGAGGAGGGGCACAATCCTCGGCCAAATCGCCCTCGAGCATCCCAGATGGATGCCTTTTTATCCTCAAAGCACGGAAAAGGAGACACACAAGCGAACCATTGGATGCAATTCTTTGTACTGAAAGCAAGCAGCTAAGCAGGAAATGCAAAGCGTATGGGTCACATACAGCCGCACCACGCCACTGAAGTGCGCAAAGTCGGATTTCCTCGAATGCCATGCACAAGCGCCACAAAGAACAACTGCTTCTTGGCTCTAAGATGGTTATAAAGGTTTTTATGGCTGTGGGTCAAAATATGTACCCAAAATGGAACCCTGGTAAATGGAACCAAGGAGTAAAACCTGTGGTCCCCTGCTGGTTTAATTTTGACCCACGCCCATATGGGTTTGTGCATTTTTGAGGGTGCCCCGCATCGCTCCTCTGGCTTTCCGTGAAACCGACCCCAAAAGTACCCTCAACAAATGACCCCCCAGAAAATGGCCTTGCCATGGCCCCTCTTTCCTAAGATGGCAACAACCCACAAACAAAAAAAAGCGGGGGCGCTGCTCACGTCAGAAACGAAAAGAAAACAACTTTCTGCACCAAGTGCGGGTGGCCACAAACAGCACCCACACCCGTCGGCAACTCGTTTCTCAAAGGACTGGGTAAATTGGGTGTGTGGCCCTGGGTGTTTGGGAAGTTGGGTAGGTGCCCCTTCTCATCCTCCCAAGAATACACTGCAGCAAGACTCAGTTGCTTGCACAGCAGGAAAAGTTGTGGCTGGAAGATGACGCCCTTCTGTGATATTAAATTTGGCAAGAGGTTCCCATACCTAGGGAATATGTTATTGATGGAACCATCTAGAGGAATCCTGATATTTATCCCAACAAAACCACTCTAAAATCGGAGCATCGCGAGCCATTCCATCTGTACCCTTATTTTTCTGGGGAGCGTAGCGATTCGTCTCTGGCCCTTGAAGCCAAAACTCTTCGTCTATATGCCTGGCAACCGGAAACGGCACGAGAGTCATTTCTTAGCCCCTCAGCCCCGCCCTAAAACAAACCTTCCCCGACCTTCTGAATCGGAGCCTCCTCAAACCTTCCAAACGGAGCCTTCAGACCCAAAATGCAAAACTTCGAAACCGGGACTCCGTGTTCGTTCCTTCCGAATCGACCAATGCCTCCCTGCGCGCCCGTTTCCTGAAATGCGGGCCCTTCAAAAAGGGCTTGTGTACGTTCCAAATGGGTATGAGGCTCTAGTTGATTCCCCCTTCCAAACAACACCACGATTTTCCTCCCTGCCCAAACAGCTCCCTTAAAAAATCAGCCGTCGAAAATCGGTGCGCCGTGCCATGGCCTAACTGCCCTGAAAAAGGCCAGGGCCTTGGTTCGTAGCCGTGTTGAAAGGCTGGTTTGGTGGTTCTGAGGTGGCAAACCCCAGAAAACTGTCTAAGCCGTCTAAGCCGTTTCAATTCCAAATCCGAACCACCAATCCAAACCACATATTAAGAATCACCTAAGTCAATGCTGACCCCAGAGTCATAAACGCCTGGTTGATTGTGATCAGGTGTGTCCCCTTTTAGTGGTTGGAATCGGACGACTCTTGCAGGAAACACCCCTTCAATGGGACGGGTGTATTAGTCCGGGGTCAACACAAAGCTGCCTCCGCCGTGGTACTCGACTTCAAAACTGCCCGATGCAATTCTATTGGCTGAGCTCCCTCCTGTCCACAGAACAAAACTTTAACGGCGATTGGGAGGAGAGCCCAAAAAGCGTGAAGATGGTGACTGCGCTTACGCGAACCGTGGCTCAATTTGGCGGGGACCTCCAAAATGGAGTTGTCTTTTTGTGGGGGGTACCCCCTTTTTTTTGTCGTCTTCATGGGAAACCCAAAAGGAAAACCATCATTTCGGGGGTCCAATCTTTAAAATCTCACAACCCAAACTACAATCTCCTTACAGAACTCTGATCGGTAGCTCCTGAACTGCTCTTCTTTAAAGGCAAACTTGTATACCCCGCGCTGCGTAACCGCTCCAATCGAAACAACTGGCTAGCAAATAGGTTTATCCTAACCCCGAAGAATGAGCGATTCTGAATTCTCGCTTGGGGCCTCCTGGAGTCAGCTTGAAGTGCAAGTTCGAAGGCTTGAGCAAGAACAAGAAGAGCTCTCTTGCGCCCCAGACTGCCTCACCCCTCACCCCCTCACCCCATCACCCCCTCGGCCCCTCGGCCCCTCGGCCCCTCAGGCCCCTCACCCCCTCACCTCCTCAGCCCTCAGCCCCCCACCCCCTCAGCCCCCCTAGGTTTCGGTTCCCATTGTCGCCGAGCGGCCTTTGCTCGAGGCGCATCAGCGCCAGAAGGCTCTGCCGCTCTGCGTGGCTGGACCTGCACACCAGCGGGCGGCAGGCACCGGGGGAACCCGGCTTGGTTTGGAGAGAAAGCCAGACTCTCTGGTGATTGTTTGGTGGCTTGCCGGCGGTTTGTCAGCTATTCTCTGGTGTTTCTTTGGTGGCTTGTTGGCAAGGCGCTTGTCGGTGGTTTGCTGGTGTCTTGTTCGTCGTTTGTTGGCGGCTTGCCGGTGGCTTGCTCGTGTTTTGTTGGTCTGGTAGCGCCGCCGCCGCCGCCGCCGCCACCCCCCCCCCCGTGCATCCTACAACTCATGCATGGGCCTAGCACTGTGCGAGCCATCTTCGAGGCCGCTTTCAGGGAGGTCCAAGCTGTTGAGTATGCCTTGTTGCTTGCCCGGGTTGCCCAAGCCAAGCAACCAAGGGTAGATCATCTCGCGCATGTCTTCAGGGTTGTGGCTTAGCCAAGGCAAAGCCAGTTGATATCTTGGTAGAAAGGGTGTGGTCGCGTCAGAGAGTTGGTGGTTCGTTGGTGTTCGTTGGTGGTTGGCAATTTGCTGTTCAACCTGGTGTTGAGGGGCTGGAAATCCCTGAATAAGCGGGAGGGGTCGTTTTTTGGAGAATCGGTACCCCTTTTGTGGCTTTAAAGGAGTTCCAAAAGGAAAACCCCCATATAGGTGTAGTTCGCCAGATAGCTGAAAGCTATTGGGGCTTTCACCTCTAATAAGGATGGGAAAGCGATTTGCGAGATTTGGCAGGGTGCTGGGGGCACGCAGTTTGGGGTGCTGATGCAGGGGTGCTGGTGCAGGTGCCCTCACGGTTGGCGCATTTTTGCGAGATTGGCTGGGGGGGGTGGGCGCATTTGTGCGAGAGTGACGGCCGGGGTAGGCTTAGGCATGGGGGTGCTGATGCAGGTGCTGCTTTGGGGCTGCCCACACACATGGAGCAAACAAAAACTCTCAAGTCACTTAAGGTGCTTGTTCTTTCAATTTCACACCAGGAAGCCTCTCAATTCTACACAGAATTCTGATACGATTTGGCCAACGAGCAGTGTGCAATCCTCAACCTGGTGTTTGCTATCCTCAACCTGGTGTTTGCTATCTGGGGTCTGTGTTGGTGTATTTTTCTCTTTGTTGAAACGGAGAGCAAACGGAAAACAGAGGCCCTTTGAGACAAACACATCTGAAAGTCAAAGATGCCCTCGTTTCGGCCGTTTGTTTTCCCAAAAGGGAGGATTAAAAACGGAAACCCACGGCTCAATTGAGTCATCAATTCATCAAAACCTGGACACTTAGTGGAGCCCACAACAAAGACACGCAAAAAACCAAACGGCGGATAGCACCTATTCCTGGAGGGGCCTAATACTCAAATAGTTTGGCTGAGTTCGGCCCTTTTGACTCCCTGTCGAGCCAGCCATTATGGGTCTGATTTTGGAAACTGCTTGTTAGGTGGTTTATTCTCGCTAGTTTGAGACACCACTAAATCCAGCAACCGTCCCAAGATGGCTTGGGGACTGATGGTTTCATGTGTTGTTGTTGCTGTTTCCCTGTAGTATCCTTTGATTGGCAGGACTCGCTTTCATTGCAAGGTGGATGACTGGAGTTTGACCTGTCAAGCTGGTGTCTAGATACAATACCACCGCTGTAGAAAAACCAAGGTGGGAGTTGCGAAAAGCCGAAAGCACTTCCCAGTCTACCACACCCCTTCTTTTTTTTTTTTTTTTCGAGTGGGTGCTTTGGCCGCATGGCTATGTCCAAAGAAGCTAAACAGCAACAAAAAGTGGCCCTACCCTACCCTAACCCCTCCCCCCCCCCCCTTACAGACCCATTTCAGCCCCAAAAAAACCGGCCTGTCATGCTCCACTTCCACCGGTCTCAACCACTGCGACGGCTCCGTCTCCGCGATGGCCCCGCCCAGACGCCCCCGGCAGGGATCCAGAGGCGAATCCGAGTCCAGGCGGTGGGCGAGCCAGGCCACGATCCTGGCGCAGCGACGAGGTTTAGATACCCGTCCTACCAACGTAGCACCGAAGGTACCTGGAAGATCCATCTCCTCTTAAAGGAACCTTCCGTGAGGTGCTATGATAGTGGAAGGGAGGGTAACAGCCGACCCAAGGGATGGTTCCCTTTCGAAAAGTCCTAAACGGCCAAACCAAGCAGGCTGTGAGCAGGAACCCTCAGCTTCCCTCTAGTTGGTGGCTTGGGCGGCGGCTTCCCTTCCCTCTACAAAAGCCAGGGCTCAAAGCCCACCAACCAGAACCACCAACTGAGGCTTGCCCTCTCTCCAAAAATCATGGAAGCTGACAGGAGAGTTTTGGAAGACTGCTGGTCCTTTTGGGGTGCCCAAATTATAGCCATGGTTCAAGTTATAGACTTCGCTGGATCAAAGTCACCCGCAAGTGGTAGGTTAAATGAAAACCCCCCCAGCTGATTTTGATACCCCGGCCACGGGTCAAAATGACAAGCACCTCCAAGCACCTGACAGCGGCCGCCCTGTTCCAGGCCTCGAAGAGGAAACCTCCGAGGCCCTCGAACCGCGCGCGGAGGCGGACTGCAAAGCTCGCGCCGGCGCAAGCCGCGCCGTGCTTTGCCACGCCGAAGACTCGGCCCCTTGCCGCCGGGAGACACGAAAAGACGAAAGGTTGGATTGGAAACGAACAGGAAAAAGGCCAAGGGGAACCCAAAAAACAAAGGACAAGGAGTTTGTACTGGCTTGCTGAGCTTTTTTTGGGCGCGTTTTCCCGCACATTGGTTGTCTGGCCGCCTTTGAAACGAAAAAGGGCGCGCAGAGCTGCGTCAGCTTTCTCGCGCCTGCCAGCACCTTGAGGGCCTGTGCCGTGAGCTGTGCCCCTAGGCTGTGCTGCCGCTCCAGCACGGCCGAGTCCTGGCGACGAAATCCCGATGGACTCCCGAGTTGCATACCCCAGTTCTAGGGGTAAAAATTCCTTTTGGATTCTTTTCAATCATCCTTCCTTTCAAAAAGAAAAATAACTATTTTCACTGGGTTTCCGGAGGTTTTCTAGAAAGAAGGATCCCTGGAACGAATGGGGAAGGTAGTGGGTCACCAAGGGCTTGCTGCCCGACAAAAGGAAATCGCGAAGGGTTGCCTACTATATTGGTTTAGCGGGATCTGCTGGGTACGTGACAAACCACCGCCTAGTTTTACAATTACATGGGTGTGGCTCAAAATTACATGACTAGGTTTACGCGGGTTTCTGTCTTTGCATCCATTTACTGAGGTGCCAGTTTGGCACATTGTTGGAGCTACAGCCACATCTGCAAATCTTACAAATCTTCCACGAATTGACCACCTGCAACCGAGACGACTTGGATCAACCACAAAATCATGGAAATAACACGCGGCTCATGAGCTCCCAAATTGATTCGAACGGCCAAGTTGAGTGTTTTTGTTGACCCAAAATGGCGCAACAGTTCTACTTTTGGTTTCCCTCCAAAACCCACCAAAAAACAAAAAAGCCAACTCCGAAAAAGGCGCACCAGACCTGATTGGCAGAAATCGGATCCAACTTGGGTGTCCAAACCACATAGTAAGTATGATATAGCCATGGTCGCAAGGAGACTAACCCCAGCCCCACTCATATCCATGGTTACCCACTTAAGTGGGTTGGACATCCAAGAACCAGGGGCACCAGACCCAATCGGCGGAAATCGGATCCTTGGCGTCCCTCTAAAACCCTCCCAACAACAAAAACACCAACCCAAATGACCATGGGTCAAAATTAAACCACTAGAAGACCGCAGGTGTAGTCCTTATTTCCATTTACCAGGGCTCCATTTTGGGTACCTATTTTTGACCCACAGCCAAATCTGGAAGGCACCCCCTCAGCCCCAGCTCCCGTTGAGCCTCGCCTCGCCCTCCGCGGCTTCCTTCCGCAGGCGGCGCAGCACCGGGCGCAGGACGTAGCGCCCGAGGCACGCGGCGCTCGGGGCGTCCGAGGCCACGCCGTAGGCGAGCAACGCGTCACACACGGTGACGGCCAAACCCAAGGGCCTCTCCACCTCAAACCGAAAAGGGCGGCTCGTCGTTGTGTTTTCTCTATTAAAAAGAGTGCCGTTTAAAACCAGCAAAAACAAAGGAAGTATTGTTTGAGGGTGTACCTTTGTGCTGGTGGTTTTGAAAGGAAATTGAAAGGAAAACCACCATTGTGGGGGTCAGCTTCCGTGGCTTGGATTGGTGGTTTAAAGGTTTGGGGGTTGTTTTCCATTTGCCCTCAAAACGAGCCGGGGGTTCAAACCCACAAATCACCACTCCAAACCACCAACTAAGAGGTACCTGAAATGGGGCAAAGACGGAAGCGGCTGAATGATTGAAATATCGAATCTCAACACTCGGAATTTTGTCGGAACGGTGGGGGGTTGACTGGACTGTTGAGGAGGTGCCCTGGGGAGCAAGCCAGTTTGAATGAGTTGGGGGGTGGCAAAGCAAAATGAGAAACGGTGCTTTAAGCCGGAAACGTAACAAAATAAAAATGAAAACCGGCCGGATGGTTGTTGCGTGGTCGAAAGGGGAAATGAAAAGGAATGCACCGGTTCTCGGAATGGTTGTTGAACCTCGTGTTGGATCTAAAAAGAGACAGCACAATGAAACTGCTAAGCCACCTGTTTGAGAATCAAATGATAACAATACGCATTGGGTCCTAAATAACCATTGCATATTGCGAAGAACGTGTGTTCCTCGCCAAGACAGGTCATTCTGCTGTGCAGAGCATAAAACACTTCCGCAAGATGTGTACTTAGAGGAGCCTTTTGAAGAAACCCCCTCTTGCTTGGTTTCAGAGGGAAGCGAACAGTTTCTTGTGGAGCCGCCGCTTTCCGTTTCGCTTTGCGAACTCCCACCTCCTTGAGGCTCGGCCGCGAGAGATCGCGGACTTCCGCCCGCAGCTCGCAGAGGGCGGCTCCGACGCGCGGACTCGGCTCCGACTCCGACTCAGCAAAGGCGGCGAAGGCTTCGAGCAAACTGATGGCATCCCTCCTGGCACGGCAAGGCGTATACATATACATATGTACATATGCATATACATAGACATACCTCCTACGTACTCCAAATACCCCTTGGTTATTGGCATTCTTTGACAAACCTGGTTTTTTACTGTAAATACCTGCTTCTTTAGTGGAGGGTTGACATCATACCGTATACCCTAAAAAAAGAGGGTATTTGGAGTAAGGGGAATACATATACATATACATATGTATATATATATATATACACATATACATCTGTACAAATATATGTTATATATATAAGCTATTCTGTCCTCGGCGGGACACCTCATATAGTTTGCTGGGGAACATTGGTCAAAAGGGCCCCACGGCCCCTGTTTTCTTTAGAAGTAAGGGTGGTGCGTCCTTTTTTGGCGTTGGTGGCCCCCTTCCTGGTGGCTTGAAAAGGAAAACAAAAGGAAAACCGATGCGCCATTTTTGGGGGGGTCCCCAAGAAAAGACACGCCCAGAGGGGCATCAAGAAATCCGCTGTCTCCAATCCCTTCCAAACAAAGCGGGCCGATGGCCGATTTCCTTAAGAACCTTCATCTAAAGCAAAAGCAATAGACAGAAATCAAAACTGGTACGTTAAATGGAAATCCCCACTAAACCCTAAAGACCTAAACACCTGGGGGGATGGCTGGGAATCCCCAGAGAAAAAAAACACACACACACACACACACACACAACGGACTCCTAGAGGTGATGTCCTCTTGGCTTCCCTGGAAACCATCGAACAGGTGGTCCCGAATTCTTGGGGGGAAATCAAATGCAAAGAGAAAGGGGTTGCCGGGTTGTTTGAAACTGCAGAAACCGTCCACAAAGGTTATGCCCATCTGGTTTCACTTTAAAGCAACACAAAAAATGTCCTTTGGTTGTCAAAGGACCTTTTTCTAGGCACCTCAATCCTACCGGGCCTAACGGAGCCTCACAGGGCCTAAGGCCAGATTGGATTCTCAGGGGTGCCAGATTGGGTAACCGCGGAACATGGGTGCCATCCCCTTCAGGGTTCTTTTCGTTTCCCTTCGAACATCACCCCAAAAAAGAACTCGTTTCGAAGCGGCTGTTGAGGCCAAAAGAAAGAGAGAAACTCCAATAATGACCAAGAAACAGGTTGTGTCATCTTCACTAGATCTTCGCCAACAGATATATATATATATATATATATATCACCAGCCAACAGCCATATGGGGGTTGTCTCAAAATTTGGGCCAAACTGGGTGGATTTCCTGGCCCTCTTGCAACGCAACCCAAAAAAGGGGTACCAACTCCAACACACCGGGCCGTGACGCCGTCCCAGGCATATACTTTCACTTGGTTAAGACCCCTGGAAAACATGAAAACATGTCCGGTAGTGATAGATTCCCTTGAAAACCAACCAGGGATTTATTTTTTCTTTTTATGGAAGTATAGTAGGTAAGCCTTCGATCTATTTTCCTTTGACTTTTATACCGGGCGGTTCCCGCGAACGGTTCCCTACAAGGCCTGCATGGATCCACGTGCCCCACATTCAACTGAGAAGTGTCGGTTCTTCCATTGCTTCCCTTTCGCAAACGAACCTCAAAAACAAGCCCAGGTTCGGGACCCGCCCCCGAAAAACCTTCCTTGCAACCCTGAAGCTGCCCCATCGAAGACCCCATAGCTTTCAGCTGGGGGAAAACCAGTTTGCAACATGGAAAAAAAAAACTGAAAACTGTGGTCGGCCTTGTATCCAAACAAGCTCCATCTCGTTTGTGTTCCTCATCAGCAAAGACCCGGCCTCAACAAATGCACACCGCGCACGCCCGAGGGGCGTTCTCACCACGAACAAGACACATACAGTGTTTTGCTTAAAACCGCCGCCTGATGCGCTGCCGTCCCGCATCTTCCAGCAGTTGCCAGCTCGATTGCCAGGCCGCACCTCGCTTGGCGGCCCCCAGGACCGCATTCAGCGAAATGAGGTCCGGCAGGATCCTGAGGGGTCAAAAACGCTTTGGAGCCACAGCACAAATTACCACTCCAATGGGGTCCTCAACGGATACATCTCAAAACCACCCATACTCATCCCTCAGAAGGCGCGGTTCCCTTTCAAAAAAACAACAATTGGGAATCCAAATAATGCAAATTCAAAAAAGCTGTCCTGAGCTTGGGTCAACAGGGGAGACTACAAACAGGATTAACAGATTGCAGCTGACTTGCAGAACATCCTCATCAACGAACTCGAAAACATTCTCACGGCTCCTTGAAGGATGCATGCAAAAGCTACCTGCCTTACAAGGGCATCCTCCGAATCTGATGGTAAAGGTGTTTCTTTTTGGCCCAAACGTATCCTTTAAGGGACCCATTTGAGCTCCGGTCAAAAGATGCGGTTACCATAGAGAACGTGGGAAAGTTGGGGATGGGGTGCGTCCCCTGATTTTCCTGATTGAAACCAGAGCTCCGAAGAAAGGCACTTGAGCAACGAAGAACCCAAAGCCCTTCGACTTTCGGTTCTACCAACTTGGTTAGTAAAAGGTTTATGTAGGTTTTAGCACAACCTCAATATGAAACCAGGTCTTTTCGACCCACCCGGTTAAGGGCCCAAACAGGTACCAATCCCCAACAACGCCTTTTGGGCGTCTCTTTTTTGAGAGTACCCCCCTTTTTTGACTTCCCAGAATTGTCGTTTTGGGGGACCCCCCAAAATGATAGTTGTCCTTTTGGCTTCCCTTGAAACCGCCAGAGAAGGTACCTACCCTCAAAAAGAGACACACCCATATTTCGATTACCAACAAGGGACACCCTTAGATTTGGTTCAAAGGAGTGGCTCTGAGCACCACGTTACCCTGCATTCTCTTTCAGATAGGCATGCGACGGGCTTGCCCCCAACCACTTTTTAGGGACTTTGGTGTTTTGAGAAACACCCACATCCTCATGCTACCAAGAGACCGGATCCACTCGGATTGAACCCGAGAGACGGGGTCCCAACAGTTGAAGTCGCTGGCCTTGTTTGGCTGGTGTCCTTGTCTTCTTGTTCCGCACCAAAAGGGGGGGCACAAATTTGAGAAACATCGACACCGATGGTCTGGGGGGTTACCTTCCGGTTCCCCTCCTCTTGAAACATCACCCCGACAAACTTTGAATGGCTTGGGAAGTTGAAAACCCAACCCCCAGGTAGCAACCCAACTTGGGCTTGCAAGCAAGGTTCTGAAGCTCCTTCATCTCCCGGAAGCAATCAAGGGTGCGCTCCCATTGGCCGCCTCAAAACCAGAAAGACCCTCCAAAAGTGTTCGAAGCGCTTTGGTTTATTTACCCAACCCGGTGCTTCCAGTTCGCGCTACAGTAGGCTTGGGCAGGGGAGACCGTTCATGGTAAAACCTGGAGGTCTGATATTTGAAAGGGTGGCGGTTTCTGGAAGCACTGAGCAAGCCCTATTACAAACAATCAGGTAGCATCTACCAAAATGGCCATTTTGGCAGCTTGGAGCTTCCAATCCAGACCAACGTGTCCGAACCACCTTCCTTTTTTCCTCGGGGTACCTGAACAAAACATGGGGGGCATCGAACCGTTTTGCGGGCGTCACGTGGCTTACCGTCGCCGAGCCGCTCTTCTGACAGGTGCTCAGCACCGTGTTGCAGGTGACGAGGCTCCGAGTTTTCCCCAGCTGCCCCATATGGCTGTACAAATCCAGCGCCCTCTCCCACTGCATACCTCTGCTGCACTTGGTCGTGACATATATATATATATATATATATACATAGATATGTGTGGTTTATTTGTTAAACAAGAATAGCGACCAAATGTTTGGTGGACATCAAGATTCGGTGGTTGGTTTTATGTCCGACCACTTTTCAGGGGGTTCCCCATTAAAAGCCATAGCCACATTGCTTGGCGCCCACTTGGCACAAGATCAGGAATAGGTCTGCAATTTGGCAAAACAAAACAAATATAATATCTATATATATATAATATAACAAATAAACTAGAAACATTACAAACCATGCAGAAAAGGGGAATATAGCTAACATCACGTGTGCCTGGCTCCCGTTTAGCACAAGCCCGCGTGCAAAACAGAATGTCAGAAACCAATGTGTGGCCAACAAGCAGGCTTGCCCCAAAGCGGGTTAACTAGAAAAAAAGAGGAAACAAAAAACACGCCACGAACACAGCAACTGTGGGAGGGTTCCTGCAAAATCAATGTCCTCTTGTTCTGAGCGGCTTTCTGTCAGGCGCCATGGCCACTAGTGGGAGGCAAAAAAAGCAAATCCACCGCAGCACGGGGTCCAAGCGGCTCTTTTCGAAGGTGGTTGGCACCTCAAACAATACCACCTTTTTCGGCGGCTTTAACGCCATTCCTCCTCTGTTCTCTGTTTCTTCTTATTGTTGTTGTTTTTTTTTTGTTCTTATTTTTTTAGGCGGGGGGGGAGAGGCTGTGTTTATTCCTTTTTTGGGGGGTCCCGTTTTCGAGTCCCAAGAGACAAAACCACCGAGAGAGTCCCGGCGGCTCTTCTCGAAGGCCTTCAGCACGGCGTTGCAACTCACCCCGTCCGCCCCATCCGCCGCCTCCGCCAGCAGCGCGAGGCACCGGGGCCACTGCATCGCCTCTGCGCAGGCGCTGAGCGCCGCGTTGCGGGCGATGAGGTCCTGAGCATATGGCCCGAGGAGCTGTGTCCCCCGCGTCGCGTGGTTTCCCGAGCCATCCCTAATATTAAAAACAACAATAATGATAATAATAATCATGATGATAATGATATTATTTAAGGGAGAAAAAAAAACTCCAAAAGTGGCGAGTTCAGTGGAAACCCCCACTTTGGCAGGGCGCACAAGGTTGTTCAGGGTTTCCGAGCCGTGTTCCTTTGAAGGGAACCTCCAAAAGTGGCAAGTTCGGCAAAAAGAACCACCACTTTTAACAGAGGGTTTCAGGTTTCAGGGTTCCCGAGCCAGGGAACTACAGGGTTTTACAGGGTTTTGCAGGGCTTTCAGGCTCCAGGGTTTCGCCCTGATTGGTCCATTTGACAGTGGCAAGTTCCAAGGAAACCAGTTTTTGAATGGGAAATCCAGTGAGCCCTGCATATGGGTCTGTCTTTTTTTGAGGATACCCCCAATTTGGTGGTTTTGATGGGAAACAACAAAAAAGCACAATTATTCAAAAAAGCGGGGGGGGAGGGGACACTCCCCTAACAAATAACACACCCATATGATCGTCCTACCAAGACGCACCGAAAAAATCGTTCAAGGGGCCCCTTTGAGAAACATTGATTCTGGATTCAGATTGGGAAACCTTCCTTCTGGCTTCCTTCAGATTGAAACCTTCAAGTGAGACAAGCTGCTGGCTTCAGCTTCCTGCTTTCCATCGCCACCAACTGGGAAAGTGCCACCTCCCACCGCGCCAAGCGCGCGCAGGCGCGCAAGAGCGCCGTGAAGGACACCACGTCGGGCCTCGAGTCGAGTCAGAAGGTGACTCCAGTGGACAATGTTCAACCCAAACCTGTTCCTTGATTTTTTGTTGTTCTTTTTTGTTGTTGTTCTTGTGTTAAAAGAAAGAAGGGAAAAAAAAAGGTCGGGGGTCAACCCCCTTTTTTGGCGGGTTCTATAGGGAAATCAAAAGGACAACCACGATTCTGGTGGGTCCAACCTCAGAAAAGACACACCCAAACCTAGAATTTGAGTCTCGTCTTTGTTCATCATGTTGGTCAAGGGCAAAAATGTCCAACACGCTGATCCAGATTGGGCAACCACGAAATTACGGCCCGAGGCAACAGCCACCACACTGGGCACAGTTGAGCAAGACATCCTCAAGTATCACCTAAATTTGGGCAACCCGAACCCAACCCATTAAACGGGTCTGCTGAAGAAGAGGGGAACCTTGCTATAGGTTGCGCGGGTTTGCCCATGTTTTTGTGGAAAGCGCGCTGAACGAAAAGGGGGAAAGGGTTAAAGTACCGACAAGAAACTCAGGGCAGCCGATTGAGCGGAATTGTAAGGCTATTTAACTGAGCTGTTCAAAACAGTGGGTTGGCCAATCCCAATCCATCCTTTTCTGTAGGGAAGCCACTACAAAGACAACCGGTTCCTTGCGCAACCCAAGGTAAGGATCTTGCGGATTACCAAAAAAAAGAAGGGGTGTTCCCATGACAGTTCCTTTGAAGCTTGTGTCGGCTTCCCAAGTGCTGGCCTTCAACTGGGTGTCCACGTGTCCGGCCATGATTGGAAGCGCTGACGATAAACGAACCATACAAAGCACGCGGCAAGAAACACCGTGTATTTCTATAAAATCATTGACTCACACTTTTGAGCAAGACACGAAAAGAAATCAGATAAATGCATTCGGGGCAAGCAACCATTGTGCCTTGCATTTACATATTGCAATATTAAACATATAATATGTCTGTTGGTCTACTTGTTGGAAGTATCCGCCGACAACAAACGGCGTGTTGGACACAAAAAATGCTCCTTACCTCTTTACCTGTTACCCCTCCCCTAACCCCTCCCCAGGGGCACCATTTCAGATTATTGCGGGGGGGGGGGGGGTCCACGTACGCGGTGATTCGAAGACGCGTCAAAAACATTGGGGTGTTCGATTCCCCCCGGGTGCGCTTTCGCATCCTTAGCAGCTCCAGCGGCACATCGCCAGCATCACCTGCATCATCCGCGTCAGCGCCTGCCAAGGATGCGGATGATGCAAGTGATGCTGGGGATGTTGCCCATGCTGGTGAAGGAAATGAAGGGGGGAAAGGGGGAAAGGATCTCAACAGTGAAAGGGGGGGAAAGATCTCAGGGAGAAGATCTGGGGAAAAGGAAGAGATCTTTGGGAGGAAAAGGGAAATCTTTCTCGGGGGGAACCCTAAGGGGCAATCGGGGGACAGGATCTCAATCGGGAAAGGGGGCAAAAGACTTTGGGAAGAGAAGATCTTGGGGGGAAAAGGCCTTAGGGGGGAAACGGGGGAAAGGATCTTAAGCGGGAAAGGGGGGAAAAGATCTTAGGGAGGCAAAGGGAGACGAACTCAGGGAAAAGGACTTAGGGAGGAAAGGGGGGGAAAGATCTTTGGGAGGAAAAGGGAGAAGAACTGAGGGTGGGAAAAGGCCTTAGAAGGAAAAGGGGGGAAATAAATGATCTCAACAAGGAACTGGGGGGGGGGGGAAAGATCTTAGGGAGGAAAGGCAGAAGATCTGGGGCAAAAAGGCCTTAGGGGGGAAAGGGGAGAAATGATCTCAACAGGGAAAGGGGTGGAAAAGATCTTAGGGAGGAAAGGGAGAAGATCTGGGGAAAAAAGGCCAACAGGGAAAGGGGGGAAAAGATCTTAGGAAGGAAAAGCGAGAAGCTCTCAGGGGGGGAAAGGCCTTGGGAGGGAAAGGGGGGAAAGGATCTCAACAGGGAAAGGGTGGGAAAGATCTTAGGGAGGAAAGGGGGGGGGGGAAGATCTTAGGGAGGAAAGGGAGAAGATCTGGGAGAAAAGGACTTAGGGGGGAAAGCCCAACAGGGAAAGGGGGGAAAAGATTTAGGAAGGAAAAGGGAGAAGCTCTCAGGGGGGGGAAAGGCCTTAGGGGGGAAAGGGGGAAAAGGATCTCAGCAGGGAAAGGGGGGGGGGGGAAGATCTTAGGGAGGAAAGGGAGAAGATCTGGGGACAAAGCTTAGGGGGGAAAGGGGAGAAATGATCTCAACAGGGAAAGGGGTGGAAAAGATCTTAGGGCGGAAAGGGAGAAGATCTGGGGGAAAAAAGGCCAACAGGGAAAGGGGGGAAAGATCTAAGGAAGGAAAAGGGAGAAGCTCTCGGGGGGGGGAAAGGCCTGAGGGGGGAAAGGGTGGGAAGGATCTCAACAGGGAAAAGGGGGAAACAATCTTAGGAAGGAAAGGGAGAAGATCTGGAAAGGCCTTAAAGGGAAGGGGGGAAAGGATCTCAACAGGGAAAGGGGGCAAAGGATCTTAAGGAGGAATAGGAAGAACATCTCAGCGGGGGGAAAGGCCGTAGGGGGGAAAGAGGGCAAAGGATCTCAACAGGGAAAGGGGGGGAAAGATCTCAGTGAGGAAAGGGAGAAGGTCCCAGGCAGGGAAAAGGCCTTAGGGGGGAAAGGGGGAAAGGATCTCACGGCGAAAGGGGGCAAAGGATCTTTGGGAGGAAAAGGGAGAAGATCTGAAAAGGCCTTAGGGGGAAAAGGAGAAAAGGAGCTCAACAGGGAAAGGTGGGAGAAGATCCTAGGGAGGAAAAGGGAGAAGATCTCGGGGGAAAAGGTCTTGGGGAGGACAAGGGAGAAGATCTCAGGGGGGGGAAAGCCTTAGGGGGAAAGGGGGGAAAGGATCTCAACAGGGAAAGGGGGCAAAGGATCTTAGGGGAAAAGGGAGAAGATCTTGGGGGGGGGGAAACGCCTTAGGGGGGAAAGGGCGGGAAAGGATCTCAACAAGGAAAGGGGGGAAAAGATCTTAGGAAGGAAAAGGGGGAAGATCGCAGGGGGGAAAAAGGCCTTAGCGGGGAAAGGAGGGAAAGGATCTCAACAGGGAGAGGGGGGAAAACATTGTAGGGAGGAAAAGGGAAAGGGCCTTAGGGGGAAAAGGGGGAATGGATCTCAACAAGGAAAAATGGCAAAAGATCTTAGGGGGGGAAAGGGAGAAGATCTCAGGGGGGGAAAGGCCTTAGGGGGGAAAGGGGGGAAAGGATCTGAGCAGGGAAGGGGGGGGAAAGATGTTAGGGAGGAAAGGGAGAAGATCGTGGGGAAAAAAGAGGGGGGAAAGATCTAAGGAAGGAGAAGCTCTCAGGGGGGAAAGGCCTCAGGGTGGGAAGGATCTCAACAGGGAGAGGGGGGAAACAATCTTAGGAAGGAAAGGGGGGGGGGGAAGATCTTAGGGAGGAAAGGGAGAAGATCTGGGAGAAAAGGACTTAGAAAAAAGGCCCAACAGGGAAAGGGGGGAAAAGATCTTAGGAAGGAACAGGGAGAAGCTCTCAGGGGGGGGGAAAGGCCTTGGGAGGGAAAGGGGGGAAAGGATCTCAACAGGGAAAGGGTGGGAAAGATCTTAAGGAGGAAAGGGGGGGGGGGAAGATCTTAGGGAGGAAAGGGAGACGATCTGGGAGAAAAGGACTTAGGGGGGAAGCCCAACAGGGAAAGGGGGGAAAAGATTTAGGAAGGAAAAGGGAGAAGCTCTCAGGGGGGGGAAAGGCCTTAGGGGGGAAAGAGGGAAAGGGATCTCAGCAGGGAAAGGGGGGGGGGAAAGATCTTAGGGAGGAAAGGGAGAAGATCTGGGGGCAAAGGCCTTAGGGGGGAAAGGGGAGAAATGATCTCAACAGAGAAAGGGGTGGAAAAGATCTTAGGGAGGAAAGGGAGAAGATCTGGGGGAAAAAAGGCCAACAGGGAAAGGGGGGAAAGATCTAAGGAAGGAAAAGGGAGAAGCTCTCGGGGGGGAAAGGCCTTAGGCGGGAAAGGGTGGGAAGGATCTCAACAGGGAAAGGGGGGAAACAATCTTAGGAAGGAAAAGGGAAAAGATCTGGAAAGGCCTTAAAGGGAAGAAGGGAAAGGATCTCAACGGGGAAAGGATGCAAAGGATCTTAAGGAGGAGTAGGGAGAAGATCTCAGCGGGGGGAAAGGCCTTAGGAAGGAAAGGAGGGAAAGGATCTCAACAGGGAAAGGGGGGGAAAGATCTCAGTGAGGAAAGGGAAAGATCCCAGGCAGGGAAAAGGCCTTAGGGGGGAAAGGGGGAAAGGATCTCAACAGGGAAAGGGGGCAAAGGATCTTCGGGAGGAAAAGGGAGAAGATCTGAAAAGGCCTTAGGGGGAAAAGGGGGAAAGGAGCTCAACAGGGAAAGGTGGGAGAGGATCCTAGGGAGGAAAAGGGAGAAGATCTTGGGGGGAAAGGGGGAAAGGATCTCAACCAAGAGAAAAGATCTTGGGGAGGACAAGGGAGAAGATCTCAGGGGTGGAAAGGCCTTAGGGGGGAAAGAGGGGAAAGGACCTCAACAGGGAAAGGGGGCAAAGGATCTTAGAAAGGAAAAGGGAGAAGATCTTGGGGGGGGAAACGCCTTAGGGGGGAAAGGGCGGGAAAGGATCTCAACAAGGAAAGGGGGGAAAAGATCTTAGGAAGGAAAAGGGGGAAGATCGCGGGGGGAAAAAAGGCCTTAGGGGGGAAAGGAGGGAAAGGATCTCAACAGGGAGAGGGGGGAAAACATCGTAGGGAGGAAAAGGGAAAAACTCAGAGGGAGAAAGGGCCTTAGGGGGGAAAGGGGGGGAAAGGGGGGGCAAAAGATCTTAGGGAGGAGAAGATCTCAAGGCCAGGGGGGAAAGGATCTGAGCAGGGAAAGGGAAAGATCTTAGGAGAAGATCTGGGGGAAAAAGGGGAGAAGATCTTAGGGAGGAAAAGGGAGAAGATCTGAAAAGGCCTTAGGGAGGAGCTCAACAGGGAAAGGTGGGAGAGGAAAAGGGAGAAGATCTGAAAGATCTCAACCAAGGGAAAAGATCTTGGGGAGGACAAGGGAGAAGATCTCAGGGGGGGAAAGGCCTTAGGGGGGAAAGGGGGGAAAGGATCTCAACAGGGAAAGGGGGCAAAGGATCTTAGGGAGGAAAAGGGAGAAGATCTTGGGGGGGAAAACGCCTTAGGGGGGAAAGGGCGGGAAAGGATCTCAACAAGGAAAGGGGGGAAAAGATCTTAGGAAGGAAAAGGGGGAAGATCGCGGGGGGAAAAAAGGCCTTAGGGAAAAAGGAGGGAAAGGATCTCAACAGGGAGAGGGGGGAAAACATCGTAGGGAGGAAAAGGGAAAAACTCAGAGGGAGAAAGGGCCTTAGGGGGGAAAGGGGGAATGGACCTCAACAGGGAAAAATGGCAAAAGATCTTAGGGAGGAAAAGGGAGAAGATCTCAGGGGGGGAAAGGCCTTAGGGGGGAAAGGGGGGAAAGGATCTGAGCAGGGAAAGGGGGGGAAAGATCTTAGGGAGGAAAGGGAGAAGATCTGGGGGCAAAGGCCTTAGGGGGGAAAGGGGAGAAATGATCTCAACAGAGAAAGGGGTGGAAAAGATCTTAGGGAGGAAAGGGAGAAGATCTGGGGGAAAAATGGCCAACAGGGACAGGGGGGAAAGATCTAAGGAAGTAAAAGGGAGAAGCTCTCGGGGGGGAAAGGCCTTAGGCGGGAAAGGGTGGGAAGGATCTCAACAGGGACAGGGGGGAAACAATCTTAGGAAGGAAAAGGGAGAAGATCTGGAAAGGCCTTAAAGGGAAGGGGGGAAAGGATCTCAACGGGGAAAGGAGGCAAAGGATCTTAAGGAGGAGTAGGGAGAAGATCTCAGCGGGGGGAAAGGCCTTAGGAAGGAAAGGAGGGAAAGGATCTCAACAGGGAAAGGGGGGGAAAGATCTCAGTGAGGAAAGGGAGAAGATCCCAGGCAGGGAAAAGGCCTTAGGGGGGAAAGGGGGAAAGGATCTCAACAGGGAAAGGGGGCAAAGGATCTTCGGGAGGAAAAGGGAGAAGATCTGAAAAGGCCTTAGGGGGAAAAGGGGGAAAGGAGCTCAACAGGGAAAGGTGGGAGAAGATCCTAGGGAGGAAAAGGGAGAAGATCTTGGGGGGAAAGGGGGAAAGGATCTCAACCAAGGGAAAAGATCTTGGGGAGGACAAGGGAGAAGATCTCAGGGGGGGAAAGGCCTTAGGGGGGAAAGAGGGGAAAGGACCTCAACAGGGAAAGGGGGCAAAGGATCTTAGAAAGGAAAAGGGAGAAGATCTTGGGGGGGAAAACGCCTTAGGGGGGAAAGGGCGGGAAAGGATCTCAACAAGGAAAGGGGGGAAAAGATCTTAGGAAGGAAAAGGGGGAAGATCGCGGGGGGAAAAAAGGCCTTAGGGGGGAAAGGAGGGAAAGGATCTCAACAGGGAGAGGGGGGAAAACATCGTAGGGAGGAAAAGGGAAAAACTCAGAGGGAGAAAGGGCCTTAGGGGGGAAAGGGGGAATGGATCTCAACAGGGAAAGGTGGCAAAAGATCTTAGGGAGGAAAAGGGAGAAGATCTCAGGGGGGGAAAGGCCTTAGGGGGGAAAGGGGGGAAAGGATCTGAGCAGGGAAAGGGGGGGAAAGATCTTAGGGAGGAAAGGGAGAAGATCTGGGGGCAAAGGCCGTAGGGGGGAAAGGGGAGAAATGATCTCAACAGGGAAAGGGGTGGAAAAGATCTTAGGGAGGAAAGGGAGAAGATCTGGGGGAAAAAAGGCCAACAGGGAAAGGGGGGAGATCTAAGGAAGGAAAAGGGAGAAGCTCTCAGGGGGGGGAAAGGCCTGAGGGGGGAAAGGGTGGGAAGGATCTCAACAGGGAAAGGGGGGAAACAATCTTAGGAAGGAAAAGGGAGAAGACCTGGAAAGGCCTTAAAGGGAAGGGGGGAAAGGATCTCAACAGGGAAAGGGGGCAAAGGATCTTAAGGAGGAATAGGGAGAAGATTTTAGCGGGGGGAAAGGCCGTAGGGGGGAAAGGGGGGAAAGGATCTCAACAGGGAAAGGGGGGGAAAGATTTCAGGGAGGAAAGGAAAAAGATCCCAGGGAGGAAAAGGCCGTAGGGGGGAAAGTGGGGGAAAGGGAGGAAAAGGGAGAAGATCTCAGGGGGGAAAAGGCCTTAGGGGGGAAAGGGGGGAAAGGATCTCAACAGGGAGAGGGGTGAAAACATCTTAGGGAGGAAAAGGGAAAAAAACAGAGGGAGAAAAGGCCTTAGGGCGGAAAGGGGGAATGGATCTCAACAAAGAAAGGGGGGCAAAAATCTCAGAGGGGAAGGGGGCAAGGGGACAATTCCAAAGGGACGCAAATAAGAAAGCAGGCCTGTAATGTCGGCGGCCTGAGCCGGAGGCGTTAAAATATGTCTGCTATGATAGGTGGAAGAAAGACAACTAGAAGTGGGTGACATTGACACCTACTTGGATTCTGTCTTTGAAGATGTACTGGCCGGATTGTGATCTTAACCCCTACACCTTACAATAAGTGATAGTGCAAGAGATATGTTATAATCTTGGGGTATGATTTTATATTTTCATAGGGTGTACCCATGTTTATAGCCCAAAAATAACCTCATATTATTTTGTCATATGATAAAACGCATCATGGGTGCCCTAAGTCCAAGTTCCGAAAGTTGGGGCAACCCGGGGGTTTTACCCGTCCGGACATCGAAAATGAGCTGAACCGGTGTGAGCGAGCCACGCATTATGGCGTCCAGGGCATTTGTGTGGCCCTAAAACGGGGGGAAATCACGAGTCCCAAAATGAAGCTCCCCAACTCAGCAACTTGGACATTCGGTGGCTGGATTTATGTCCATTTCTGTCCAAACCCTTTTGAGCAGTAACTCTCAAAATTCCGAGAAAATTTACTCAAAACGAAAGCAGCCTTTCTTGTCAACAAAACCGCCCGGGCGTGTTGCCCCCAAAAGGGCAGCCCCTGGGCTTGAGTCTAAAGGTCCCAAAAATGGCTGTGGCTCAAAACTATGTTCCCAAAATGGCTTGCCCTGGTAAATGGAAACATGGACTAAAACCTGCGGTCCAATTCCTGGTGGTTCAATTTTGACCCATACCCAAATGGAGGCGGCTAGAAATTTCAAGAAAAGCGCTCGGTGCCAACCTGTCCTCATCATACTGTGGAGGTGAAGCCTTCCTTTTGAGAAGGTTCTTATCACATGGCCAACCAGGTACCCCGGAAAACCAGGTCCTTCAAAAACATATCCCCCACAAAAACCCCAGGAGGGGGTGGGGGGGGAAGGATTTGGAGGAGGGAGGTCGTTTTTGAAGGCGTCTCGCGCTCAAAGCGGCTGGAACTGCTCCAAGAAGCGCAGGCCTTGGTCCAGCTGGCTGCCGCGCTGGAGCGCGCCCAGGCAGGCGTTGAAGCTCACCCGGCTCACGGCCTCGGGCGGGCGCTGGCCCTGTCCGTTTTCAGATCTGCGAAAAGTGACGCACTTCTTTAGGCTAAAAAAAAAAAAGGAAAAAGAGGTAACCAAAACAAAAACTAAGATCCCTGCTAAAAGTGAGAAACGCGGACCACTAAACCAACTGAAAGCAACCAAAAACCTTGCAGGAACAAAAAAACGATAAGTTACAACAGCAAGTAGGTAGCCATGGTGCTGGTCACTTACCAAGTGGTTCAGCGCCCAAGTCTTGGGCATGGGACTGGGACTCGATTTGAATTTGAGTTGGAACCGAATTAAAGCGGACATGTTTCTCCCCAAAGTCATCGAGGGTTCTTGCAAGCCAGTTGGTCCCCGAAGCTTGAGAACTTAAATTGGAGGCGCTTTGGGGCACCGGATACATGGGTGGCCCGTCTAATTTTCGCCCAAAATTGGCGCAACGGGCTTCGAATTGTTGTTTTGTTCCTTGCATTGCATCGTGCTATTTGCTTCACCGAACCCCGACTCTAAGCAACACTTTGGCTGCCGGGTCCAACTCAGTTGCCCTGCAGCACCACCATGACGTGCTGTCTCCGCCATACTTTGGATCGCCACAGGTCACAACAGTCCCAGATTCAACAATGGCAGCCAAAACACCCGGAGTTGCTTGGATGCGCTAGACGTGCCTCAGCTGCTCCTGCACACGGCTGCAGTCTCCGCCACAGTCTGGATGACTCCAGGTCACAACCACCCTAGATTCAAGAATGGAAGCAAAAGCATTGCTTGGATGTGCTGGACGTTCCTCGGCTGCTCTTGCACCCGGCTGCTGTCTCCGCGCCAGTCTGGATGACTCCAGGTCACAACAGCCCCAGATTCAAGAATGGCAGCAAAAGCATCGTCAAATGCTTGGATGTACTGGACTCCTCTTGCACCTCGCTGCTGTCTCCGCCATATTCTTCATCATCCCAGGTCATATGGTTTGAACAAAAGTTCTAGTACGTGCTCAAACTCCACCGCCACGTCTTGAGCAACTCCCAACGCGTGAGGCCGCCGCATCCGAGCGTCAGCTGCGACGGACTTGCCGCACCAGCGGCTCTCCTCTGTCGGTGGCAGGAGTTCTCCTCCCAACGGCCGCGGATCAGCGCGGGCGTGGCCATGTCTGGCACGCCCTGCTCCTCCGAGCTTGTCGCGTTTGCATTCGGCGTAGGCGTCGGTTCCTCCCAGCTGATCACCGCATGACGTCAATTCATTATTCTGCGTTTGCCAAATCGCGCTATATGAAATGCCCAGTTGCTTGGATGTGCTAAACACTCCTCAGCTGCTCTTGCACCTGGCAGCAAAAGCACCCTGAGACGCTCAGCTGCTCTTGCACGTGGCTGCTATCTCCGCCGCATGCTAGAGGACCCCAGGTCACAACAGCCCCAGATTCAAGAATGGCAACAAAAGCATCGCGAATTGGATATGCTGAACGTTCCTCAGCTGCTCTATCTCCGCCTTCTTGTGGATCACCCCAGACCACAACAGCCCCAGATTCCGCAATGGTAGCAAAAGCTTGACGAGTTGCTTGGATGTAACGGTCCTCAGCTGCCCCTGGCTGCTGTTGCCGCTGCCTGCTGTTGCCCCTGGCTGCTGTTGCCCCTGGCTGCTGTTGCCCCTGGCTGCTGTCTCCACCACCATACTCTGGAGCACCCCAGGTCACAACCTCGCCCCCGCGGCCATGAAAAGCGAACGCATAACCGGCGGCCAGTTTGCCAAGCTGCACAACCGCAGTCACCAGCCTCACTAAGCGTGGCCGTCAAATCGAGGAAGTGCTGCTGCGCCTTCAGTGCGAGTGTTATGGAGCGACCATCTCCACTGGTGAACATCCACCTTCATGGCGCAAGGCCGAAACACGAAACCCAGCCACAACCACAAAGGTCAATTGGGGGTGAGGCTTTTTACATGGCTTTCTCTATCCAGGGAAACAAACATGCAAAGAAAGATCGGTGGGTCTTCGAACCGCCAGCTGAAAGTAACCGAAGTTCAGCAAAAGCCAAAGTGAGAGATCGATGCCGGAGATTTGGTGATGACCCAACATCAATGAGACCCTTCGAAAGGCGGATTGCTTGGGGATCCACGAAGGTGAGCTTTTCGTCCACGCCCTGTTGTTTTCTCGCCATCCGTCTCGGATTGTGGTTTCAGCTGGTATCTATTCAGCTTCCCAGTTGTTGGCTTGGAGCGAGCCAACTCGGTGGTTTGGATCGTTGGGTTCGGAGGCTTCCCAAACTTATTCTAAACGGGAACCAGGGACCCGTTCGAGTCCAAATCAAAACCGGGCTCAAGGATTGTCACATCAAGCTCGGGCCTTCCCGAACACCTAGCCAGATCTGAAGCCAAAGGACCGACGTTTGTCACAATCAAAACCCACTATTCAAATGGTCGCAATCCCAGAACCACAAAAAGAATTGAAAGGGTGGATCATTTGTGGCAGTTCTTGTCCCTTACTACCCTCCAAGTCCCGGGATTTGATTGTGACTCACCTGAAGCCTTAAACTACCCTGAAAAGTGCAGGTTGTTGCAACCCAAAATTATGGGGCTGGAATCACATGTTTGTGAGTAGGTACCTGCAATGGTCTTCTGGGGTGGATTCCCATTTACCCTCTACAAGAACGAGAGGTTCTTTCTGTCAAATCCAAACCGCCAGGCTCCAAACCGCCAATTGGTTCGTCTTTTTTCGGGGTACCCCATGTTTGGTGAAAACCACACCCCACATTGAGATGTACCAACCACACAGATTTCAAGCAAAGGACCCTCGTGGCTTTCGCAATCAAACTGCTACCCGTCTTTCACCGATAAAATCGCAAGCGAATCCCAATTGGCTGGCATGCTTCAGGTTCCGATGAAACGTTGTAAACATATGGCCGATTAAGTGGCTTAAAACCAACCCAAACGCGGCTCAAATCCCCAAGTTGTTCACTTGTGGGGGAAAAAAATCGAAACACCCACGAAACCCACGAAAGCATCCACTGAAAACCGCGAAAAGCCACTAGAAAAACACCAAAAAACACCAAATTCACCAAAAGCCCTCTAAAAGCCACTAAAAAACAACAAAAAACGCAGAACCTGTCTGGAACCGGAGGATTCGCTGACCCAACTCCAACTCCAGGCCTCCGGCCCTCGCTTCCTGGCGTCCAGGGCAGACACCGCGAGGCGCCAGCGGCAGGAGCGCTCCTCGTCGCGAGGAAGCCCGCAACGGGCAAGGCGGACCAAAAAAACAAAAAGGGACCCAAATGGGCCAAAAAGGAAGCCCAAATGGGGTTCAAGGCTGGTGAAAAGGGGGGCCTAGTCTCCCGAGGCCAAGAAGAGGCCAAAGAAGGAAACAAACATTGCAAAACAAAGCGCTCATCAGAAAAGACCCCAACCAGAAAACCCATCCCAGGTCTGCTTGGAGTTTTGCTCCCGAGGCTATCTTCCTACCTTTTTGTGGGTACCATCTCTGTTCAGCCCAATGGACCTAGAAGTACAAGGCGATCACTCCTTTTTGGGACCTCTAAATATGGACAAAAAGAGGGAACACCAAAAAGGTTTCGAGGTGGGTTTTGAACATTCGGAAACCCAGCCCGTCACCAACTCAGAACCACTTAAAACCTTTCTTGAACCGGACGGCTGGGGTTCCCAAGGAATCCCCGGACACGTCTCATCCCTTCGCTTCGCCTGAATGCTTCCCATCTTTTCTTCTTTGTGCGCCACGGCCAAAAAAAAGCAAAGGAATCAAAACTGGCCAACATTTCGGAGTTGCCGCCGTGGCGCCAGGCTGCTGAGCACGCCGTTGAAGAGGACCAGGTCGTCGCATCTTTGGGTCCGCAGGTCGGCCAGGAGTCGGCCACTGTGTCGCCAGCTCTCCTGAATCGAACCTTTGGGGTGTCTGTGTTCCCCCCTAAAGCATGGGGTTCCTTTTGACTTTCTTTTAAAGCCACCAAAAAAGGGGTACCCTGCAAAAAATGACACACCATTTGGGATGGGTAAGAGAACCAAAGGGATCCAAAGCCTCTTGCCTCTTTTGCCCCCGGGCTAAGTTTGGGTCCGACCCAGAATGTCCCTTACTAACCTCCATCAAGTAGCTCATTTGGGGTGGGTCGAAAGAGAATCCAAAGGGGACCAAGGCCTCTTCCCACCTCCAAGCATTTTCCACCGCTTCTGAGGGCAACCCCTGCACTTCCCCCAAGAGATGGGTAAAACGATGGGAGAAAACCCCTGGAGCTCTGATCGAATCCTTTTGCTTCCGATCCAGTCTCATCGAACCAATTGGGTGGCTCGTCATTTTTGGAGTCGGAACCCCTTTTTTGGTTGGCCTACAACAACACCATTTTGTGGGTCCCCTAAAAAATAAGGGAACACCATTTTTTGGGTCCCCAAAAAAGCCGCACGCCCAATTCTTGTAAGGGCTCCTGTGCTGTGGAAATGAAGGTGTTGGCCAAAACCGGGCTCGCTCCAGCACGCTGCAAGATACTCAAGGAGGACACCCATCCATCAACTTGGCCCAGCACAGCACCGAAGCTATGCCCGTCGGGCGGCAACGCGATCGTCCTTCAACTGGCTGAAGAGGTTGTTTGTTCCGGGCCAAGGGGTGTCCTTGAAACGGGACTCTGTTGCTTAAACACATGCCCAACCGAGGTCCTCATCCAATCAAGCTGTCGCAGCAACCAGCTCCATGGATGGTGTCCTTGTAGTCTCAGCGCCAAGTTGCCGGAAATCAGCGAGAGCCGGGTGGATTGTCTGTGCAGCAGCCACAAAAGAGAGATGGCATGACTCCAGCCCCGACCTTCGCACGCTTGCAGCAGCGTGCCGCAGCAAACGCTATCTACTTCCAGGCTCGAGAGCCGCAGGTCTTGGAAGCTGCGTAGGGCCTGAGCGAATGCCGCTCAGCTCAGAGGGTCTCCTGGCCCCTTCTCTTTAGAAACCCTTAGGGACTTGGCTCATTTCAAAGCATCCCTGCGAGAAAAGCGGCCTGGCTTCGCAAACGAATCCGCCACATGCTTCGCCTCCCCAAGTTGCTTCTTTGGGGGGTCAGTGGCTAGGGAAAAGGACACTCAGATCCAGTTCCCTCCGCTGGATTCAGGCCTCAAAAATGCGAAATTGGGTTGGTGGGCAATTCTGTATATGCAGCCTCTCGCACTTGTTTCTTGCTTTTCGGGTGGGACCACTAGGTTGCGTTCTTTTACCTGCCCTGACCCTCGCCCCCTGACCCTCGCAGTCAGCGTCCATCCATGGAACCGCACGCCGCTTTTGAACCACCAATTCCGCCCCCAAAACCAAGAAACCAAAACCGGAGAGTGTCGGTCTTTGCGTCTCAGAGCTCAATATGGCCTCGTCGTGTTCGACTCGACAGGAACCCCTTGCCATGAGAAGAACGGCCTTGGGCAAGGACCCAATTTGGCTGATCCACGGTGAACACAGGCGGTTTATTTGATCCCAACCATTGTTTTAATGCTGGTAACTAAACCCCAGGGTCAACATGGCCGGCTCGTTCCTGTTTTTTTGCAGCTCGGTACCCCTGTTTGGTCCGAGTCAAGAGGAAAACAAAAGGACAACTGACCCTTTTGGAGGGTCCAACCTTCAAAAGAGACCAACCCAGACGCAGGAAACTTTTACTTCTGACTTCCGCCCCCAAACTACTTTGGGAGTCAACGGATCCGGAGGGCCCCCCTCGCCTGGTCCCAGTGGCGGCCGCGCCCCTCTGCCTCGCCAACGTCTCAAAGGCTATGGACTGGGTTGGGTCTATCTGGGTGTGGCTCAAAATTAAACGATCGGAGGGGCAAACCGCAGATTTTGGGACCCATGTTTCCACTTACCGATCGGGCAAGCCATTTTGGAATTCCTTTTGTTTTTTGAGCCACAGCCATCTCTGTCTCCCCAAAGTCCTCCTTTGGGGAAAAGTTTGTGAGGCTCGGAGAGACTTGTGGGAAACAAACAGCAAGTTCCTAACGAATTGTAATCCTTAGATTCCAACCTCTATGGAATATTGACAAAAAGGTCGCTGGAGACAGCTACAAACCGCCTTGTTCGCTTCTGGGCCATGTTCAGTGAACCTTAACAACCTTATTGACTGTTGTCCTTGGAATCAGAGCGACTGCTAGGCTCTTATGTGGGAGAGTACACGACAAGTAGTACCAAAACCATTGGGAAGCCCGTACTTACACAAGCAACGATGTGTGTACGCGAGCAATGCGTGCACGCGAGCAAACAACTATTACAGCGGCGTTTGGTTTCAGTAGACTGTCAGAAACTGCCCACCAGCCGACAGAAATGCTGCAAACATAGGGGAGGTGTTCCGTACTTGAGTTCGTCTCATGGAATCAAAATCCCAAAAATGTGTGATGTCCACTCGATTTCCGTAAACAACAAATGACGGAACAGGTACTCTCGACAAAAAAGAAAGACACACTCAAGCTTGGGAGAAACCCATGGCTTCCCCTCGATTCCACCAAAAAAAGAAGCCAAAGCCAAGACCACAAAAACATAACAAAAAACGATGGAGACATCCTCCTCGCGAAAAACCGCGGCGTCCGCAGGCCGCCAGCCCCTTTGGGTTTTCCCAATGTCACCCCCCCGCAAAAATAAATAATAAAAAAAAAAAAACGAACCGACCAAACAGAAAAAAAACGAACAACAGAAAGGAAAAAACCAAAGAATAACAGAATAACAACAAAATAAAAGAGCCGGAAAGGCAAAACGAAAAACCCAAAGGACGCCTGGATCGCCTTGGTGTAGGCCACGCTGGTCCACTTCGCCGCGCTCGACATGCTTCCCGCGGAAGCTCGCGCCCGCCATCCCGGAACGCGGCTGCGTGGGGGGGGGGGGGGGGCGGGGCAAGGCTGGTTGACTTGCGTTTTGTTTTTGGTGGTAGGTAGGTAGGTAGGTAGGTAGGTAGGTAGGTAGGTGGGTGGGTGGGTGGGTGGGTGGGTGGGTGGGTGGGCGGGTGGGTGGGTGGGTGGGTGGGTGGGTAGGGTAGGCAGGTAGGTAATTACTTAGCTGTGGGTAGGTAAGGCCTTTCACAGCGTACCCGTGTAGTATTTCCCTTGGTTTCCTGTTGGGTCCTTGTGGTCTACAAAGAGGTCCCTTTCGGAATCCCATTTTGGTAAACACACAAGCCTTTCACAGGTGCCCGTTAAAAAATGCAGCCAAAAAGCGAGGTGTATTTTCATGGAATCGGAAAGACACCATCCATTTGGGGGCCCCGTTCTGAGTCTCCCAACCTCTTACCACACTTTAAAACCGGGGAACCCCACAGATTCTGGTTTAAAACCAACCAAAAGGCGCTTCCGTATAAAAAGCACACCCATCTGTACCGCGTCTTGCAATCTCTTACGAGCTCCAGCGTTTGATGATGCACAACACAAACTTGACGAATTGAAAACCACCTGATACTGACAAGTTCTGGCCTGAGCTGGGGCAATCAGCGGCAAAACGTCGTCCTTCATGGCGCACGGTGCAATGTGTTCTAAAAAGAAGAAGACGAAAAGGCACCCTGCGTGCCGTGGCCAGGGAAAAACGCCTTTTTGACATCAGGCATGCGATGTTTGGCAGGAAGGAGCTTAGCTCCACGTTCCAGCTAGTACAGACACCGGTGGCGCCCGAAAGGAAAACAGGGGATTGTCCACACGGGTCCGCCCGAACATGGACCATTTCTGAGACTTGCTTCGGAGTTTACTCACAGAGCAAATGTAGAAAACTCTTCCGACTGCATCCTTACAGGAGGTCGGGTCCGCACAAAGCTTGAACTCGCGAGGACAAACGTGAGCACATTCGCCCGAACATGGATCATTTGTGAGACTTACTTCGTCAGTGACTCAAGAGTCATAGGAATTTGCTCACAAAGGGAATGTAGAAACTCTGTCGACTAAATCCTCGCAGGAGGTGGTGTCCGCGCAATTTTGCGCCGGGGGGCGTTCGCCCACGGAGCATTTGTGAGACTTGCATTGGGCGAAGCGCCAAGGATTACTGCACCAGCACGCTCAACACGGCCCCCAAGATGTCGTCAAATGCAGCAGCCGCCGTGGCGGTGACCTGGTTGATGGCCAGGAAGGTGCCCAAACGCTGCAGCATCAAACCTTGAAGGTCCCGATTGAAAACATTCACCTCAGGCGACACGATCTCTGTGAGAGTTTGTTCGAGCTTAGTTCCGGCAATGAAGATTCTTGAAACATGAAAACCAAAGTTGGAACATCTAGATGGGGGTTGGCAACTCAGTCACGTCTTCAATCTTGCTCAGGACCAAATCCTTGTCAGCCGGGAAAGAAGCCTGAGCTTCCCTCACGTCCAAGTGAAGCAAATGGTCCACGCACTTCTCCCGCGACGCTGCGGAATGGGTTTTCACCGCCTGATGCAAATGCAGCCTGTCAGCTTCGACCAACTCGGCAACGCACCACACTCTGGTGAGCAAAGTAAAGTCCACCTCCATTGCCACCACCTGCTCCAAGCGTACCTTCAGGGCTCAGCTTTTTCTTCCTCCCCGGAATGGCTTCTATCATATATGCTTTGCTGACTCTCCACTTTGTTTTCTGCTCGATATGGCCATGGGGCAAAATCCCGTACCTCCAGTGAACATCCCAATCCCCACTAAAATCGGTTCTAAAATGGGTAGTCAATTCACCTACCCCAAAATGGGATCCATTGGTTTTGACAACCACAGCCATATCCTGACAATGACTGCCTAGCCAGTCTTGACTCGTGAGTTTGTTCTTGGGGCTTTCCTACAACCTGACAGGGCCAGACCTGCGAGTTCTGCCGATGGTGCTGCTTCAAGAATGCCATCATGTCCTCGCAAATGCCAAGAAGTGTCTCGAGAATCAGAGCGACAATTGCTTGCTTTCGCTTGCTTTCGGAATCCACAAACAAACTCCACTCAAAGCCTAGTTGATTGCATCTCAGCGGCATCGAACTTGTTCATCTCACTCAAATCTCCCTCAAAATGCTTGGCAGTTCCACAACTGCACACGGTGATTTCATGGCCCGTGGAGTCAAGGGGCGGCGCCCGGGCACAAATCCCGGCGTGCTGGTTCACGGAAAACGCACAGACCCAGTATGGAACATCCAGCTTCTTCTTGTGCTGCAGCCGGGTGCACAGCCCTTCAAAGTCCTTGGACATCAACCACTGCGCAACCCGGTCGTAGGTCTCCTCTTCCAGGGCATCCGAGAAGATCGCGCTGATCAAATGGCAGAACTTGTTACCCCAACTGTGCGTCACCATCTTCTGTGCCAAACATGGCCGTCCACCATTGATGCTTGTTGCATAGGCAAATCCCTTGATGCCTTCCGGCTCCCTGTCACTCACGGCCTTGCCAGGCGAGATTGCCAGCCTTATTGGATTCGGCTTGGCATTCTCACTCATATCTTCGTCTTCTTCCAATAGCTCCCTCGATTCCACAATGGCACGTGCTTCTTCAAGCGAGTCACATGGTTTGATGGAGGCCACCAGCACACCTGCGCCAAGGCGGATGTCTACGTCCCTTAAGCCGTGCCAGAATGAAGAGCTAGGCAAGATGGAGAAGACTTCTTCTCCTTCCTTGTTCTGTGGGCGCGCTGCAAAGTAGAGGCTTTCCTCTGGCAAGACTTCTTGCAAAAGCACGGTCTCATCCCATCTGAGTGAACTTGAGCCCCCTTTCCAAGGCTTGAGAAGTGGCTCATCATGGCCACGGCACACAAACAGCGCGCAACCGGGGTCAGAGCCGCCGTCGTGGCCAACAGCCCTATGCACCTGGACGAGAAAATGGCGAGCCTCGCGCAGATGCCTTGCACTTGGAATGATGGCGTGTCGCACCACATCGTGCGTCGTTGACAAGTTCGGATCCTCCGATGCATACAAAGATGCATTCAACAGAAAACATTTTGCGCCCAAAGGGGTGTCACAACAATTGCCGAGTTCGACGATCGAAAGGCCAAAAGTCTGCTTGAAACATCAAAGGATCAAAGTGTGGCATCATCTGAGGCTGACCCACCAAATCTGCATAGAAATCAAGCAGCTGTCTGAGCGTAAGACCCCGCCCTGCGAGTTCCCGAACTTTCTCGTTCCAGATCGATGACTTGTCTGCTTCATCTTGCATTCCAGATTGAAACCCGCCAAACTGAGCAAGATCATCGACATTCAAGCCAAACTTCCTGGCTGTCCAAGTAAGTAGGACATCTCAAACATTCAACAACAACCCTTGGTTTCGAACAAACAACTCATGGCAAAGGTTGTCTTGGATTCGCAGCGAGCTTCTTCGGAGGTGAGAACACCGCATGCTTCGACACACCGCCAAGCTCGGAAACAACGCCAGAGATGGTGCATGACACTAACGGCACCAAAAGGAGCTTTCGGGCCAGCACCAGGACCAGGGAAAACTGCCACTTCCACTCATCCGCCGGGTCCAGATTTGCCAGAAAGGCCATGATGATGAGCAGCTGGAGGACGGTGAGGGAAAGACCCAAAGCCCAGAATCTGAGATCTTTGAGCTGGTGAATCCGCAGCTTCCAATACCGATCAGCAGGACTCTTCACATGCACAAACCGGTGAAAAGCGAGGCATTGAAACAGGCTGCGCGGGACGAAGTTCAGAAAGATGCTGAAGGTTGATACGAAGATAAGCCAAAGGAAAGACGTCTGTTCAATGGGGCAGTCTTCGGGGCTTCTGGCAGCAACTGCACTACCATCCACAGAGAAGAACAAGGCTACAAAAGCAAGTGAGCCAAGGATGCAGTCCATAAAGATCTTGGCGCGTTTGCCTGCGGTGACATGGAGGTCAAATTGCTGCATCTCAAAGAGGGGATGTGTCGTGACAAAGGCCGAAAACCAGCACCGCCAGCGCGAGCTATGAGCCTTCACGTATGCAAAGGGCAAGTCGTCCTTCACACGAAGAGCCGCTGCCTTGAGCCCGGAAGACTTCTGAAGAGCCAGGCTTCCTTGGATCCAGCCTTCGGCCCCCCATACGTGCTCCTGGATCAAATTCGTGTGGAGCCCATGCTGTAAGGACACTTCTCGCAATGTGTTTTGACAAAGAATACTTTCCTGGGCTGCTCCGGTTTCTGATCTGCTAAAAGTTTGACTCACTTGTGGGCGAAAAATTCGGAGAAAAATAGCAAAGAAGAAGAAACAAAAAGGGGGGACCAAAAAAAAACACCAACTAAAAACAACAAACCCAACAAAAACACTGGATGGCTGGACTGGAAGCCAAGCTTCCTGCATTTTGCTGAAAGGCTCCTTTTTCTTCAACTCTTTCATTGCTGCCAGCGTCTCAGGAGTCTCAGGAGCTTGGCTCTTTCTGCATCTCATGGAACATCTGCAGCGGCAGCACCTGGTCTGAGGAACCCCGGGCGCCTCGGTGAAGAAATACTCGGCCTGCCAAAGGGTTGATCTGGACGCGTCGCGCACGAGGCCAGCAGCCAGAAAGAGTAGCAAGATCGCAACCAACACCCACAAGCACAACCTGGGCAGTGCGCAGATCTGATCCCCCGTTAGAAGTCGACAACTTTTAGTGATTTTGTGAAAACTGTCCTGAGATCCCTGCTAAAAGCTTCACTTTCAGTGGGTCAAATTCAGAAACCCAACCACTAAAACCCCCTGAAAAGCTCGGGATGGCCGGGTTTTTCTGCACCGAGCAACGAAGGCGGGCGGGTCCACCAGTCGGATCGCTCCATGATCTCTCGCAGGTTTTCGGATGACAAGACATTGATGTTGGTGCAATCCAGGAGCACGTCCACAAACATGGCAAAAATCGAGAGGTGAAACGTTGCACACCAAGCGCCCGAGGTGTCAACGATTCCGCTCTGCTCAAGCTCGTCGGCCGTTGCCAAGCGCACACCATCGGTTGACCAAGTTCCATCTTCCAGTTGATAAGCACAAATCAATGGCGACCCAAGATTCTCCGTTGCCAACTTGATGAAAACCGGCTTGGCAGACAGCACCTCGGCTGCAGATAGATCGACGCCGAACAATGAAATGTCGACGGCGTCGGTTGCAAAAATCAAAGGATTGCCAGCGCTTGACGTCGCCGACGCTCCTTTTTGCATGACTCCCTTGCCCATCTCTCCGTCGAAGCTGGTGAGCACCACAGCGTCATAGCTACCATTCTGCAGGGTCTCTGTGGGAAAAATCACACTCGGAAAGCCGTCAGTACTGGCCATTGCGAAGCCGCTCTCTGGCAATTCATCCGTCAACTTCACTGCTGTCATTCGGCCAAGCGGAGTCAAGGCGGTTGAGACATTGTTTGAGCTGAGCTCTGCTATGAGAGACCTGGCGTTGTCCAGAAGGACTTCGGCGATGCCTCCAGATGCTGTCCCCCCCATGGTGGAGCTCGAAGTGCTACTCGATGTGCTGGAATTGGACCCGGTTCTTGATGTGGTGCTCAAACTTGTTGTAGTCGCGGTAGTGCCGAAACTTTGCGTGGCAGTGGTGAAACTTGACGTGGTAGTGCTGGAACTTGACGTGATCATGCTGGAACTGGACGAGGTGGTGCTGAAACTTTGCGTGGTAGTGCTGGAACTTGACGTGATCATGCTGGAACTGGACGAGGTGGTGCTGGAGCTTGAGCTTGTTGCACTGGAGCTTTGCGTCGTAGTGCTGGAGCTTGATGTGGCTGTGCTGGAACTTGACGTTGAAGTGTGGGTGGTTGACGTGGAACTGTTGAAGCTTGACGTGCTAGTGGTGCCGCTGCTAGTCGTCACAGTGATACCAGTTTCCATATCCAAATACCACACGTCTGAAAGCTGCGATCCGCCATTGGCGCCTCCAAGGGTCTTCTGGCTCAGCTACCTCCCAGCTCCCCTTGCTCATTTCAAAGATGCTAAGGAAAACCTTTCAAAAGTGACCGGGATCATAGGGCTTCGAGCTGCTTCTCAAGCCTAGCAACTCACAGGACCTGTCTCAACTCTTCGGTTGGACTCACTGCCGGTGTGCTGGACGCATTGACCAACAAGAATGGCAGAGGGATAACCACAAGGACCCTAGCAAACAGTACCTTTTTTCTCGTGTCTAACGCTTTAACCAACTAGAATCACCCTAAGAACCTTTCTCCCAAAACCGATGTTTGGCAGAGACGCAGTCCAGCGGAGCTCCAGCGGCAAGAGAAAATATTGCGCATATCCAATGTACTTATCTGCGGATTTAGATCAGCGTGCACTGTGCGCTGTTTATGGCCACTCATCTAGCGTTTCAACCGCCTTTTCCAGGAGCACCCGGATGGCCTTTTGCTCGCGCAATAGTGCTACTCCTTGATTTCATGATGTGTCCTGCACATCTCGATGTCCCTCTCAAAACCTTCCGCCCAACTTCCGCTTCGCCTCCAAAGATCCACAGGCGATTCTGCGAGTCGCGGGCGGAGAAGGCCTTCCAGCGGTGCGTGGGCATGGAGCTCGCGACCGTCACCTCCGTCCACGCATCGCCCGCAGCACTCAGGTAGTGCAGCTCATCCATCATCCCTGTCAACCGCAGCGGGATGGTTTTCAGATCGCTCAAAGGGAAGGGAGAAACCCGAAAAACCCAAGGGGTATATGGAAGAAATGGGTTAAACTGTCCCTTGTGGGTTAAATTCGGAAACCCAACCACTAAACCTAACACCGAAATATGCTGGGACCGCCAAGCCTACCTGTTCCTCAATTGTTCCCCCATTGTTTGTCCCTTTCGTATGAATCACCAAGAAGAGTCATCTCGGCAAGCCTGGTCAAGTACAAAACCACATGCTCCAATTACACCCAAAAAATAACACTTCTTGACTTCTTGGTAGAAATTTCAGCTGGCTCCCGAGCGATGTCCAACGACAAATCGATTTGTCCATTGACAGTGGATCTATTGAACAATTGTTCAACCCTTCCCAAGGGATACATTCCATACTTCAGTGGGCTGCTACCTCATCTTGTCGCAATATGACTGAAGCCTCTTTGGGCCTGTTTCAGAAAACCTAGCAACTCCAAGCTGCCGGTCAGACTTACTTATCTCAACTCTTCGGGCCCAAGTTTCAGGCAAGAAGCTGCCACCATTGTAGCCGCTCCATAGCCACATCACCTCAGGTGATCCTGCCACACCCACAGCGAAATATCTTCTGGGAGGGGTGTTGGCCGCCACAACTTCGGTCCACGTCTCCGTCGCCGTGTCCAAGACCTGCAAGTCACTCAGCGTCGAGGATCCCAAGTGGCCACCGTAGACCCACATGCGGTCGCTCGAGTCCATGACTGCAACATGCTTCTCCCTTTCACTGGGCAGGGTGCCACTGGCGGTGACCTGGACCCAATTCGGGGTTGCTGTCTCCAGGTAGTACAACTCATTGGTCTTAGTGCCATCGGAAAGCTCGCCGGCAAAGACCCACATGCGGTCACTGGAGTCCATGACCGCGGTGTGCTTTCTTCTACTCGTTGGCACAGAGCCCGTGGCAACGACTTCAGCCCAAACTTCCGTCGCCGTGTTCAAGGTGAACAAGTTATTGTAGAACGTGCCAGAACCGCAGCACAAGCTGCCGCCGAAGATCCACATCACATCGTTGGAGTCCACAACCATTGTTTGCATGCCGCTCAACGGGGGCACGGAGCCCGTGACGGAGACTTGGGTCCAGTTTTGCGCCACCGTGTCCAAGCGCCACACCTGGGTCAAAATAAAACCAAGAGTAGGATGACACGTCGACTTGGCAGCCCAAAATGGTGGGAGGGCACCGATTTTTCTGCCAACCACCAACTTGGCTCCGTTTGCCAGACCAAGCCATGTTACCCAATCTTCCCTTCCCCCCCATTATTGGGTGCCAATTCCTGACCACCGCCTCATCAATGTCGTCGTTTGAAGCGCTGCGCCCCCCATAAATCCACATGCGGTCGCTGGAGTCCATGGCGGCGCACGCCGCCTCCCGGCGTGACGGCGCGGCGCCGCTGAAAGTGACCTGGGTCCAAGCCGGCGCCCCCAGGGCACCGCCCAGCAAACAAATCCACGTCCATGCGGCACACGCCATCGCTCGCTTCGAGTTTCCGGGTATGCTCTGTTGTCATGTCTCATCATGTCCCACCGTTCTGAAGGATTTTGTGTGCCATGGGTGAATGCGATGTGCTGTGTAACAGGTCATAATATATTGTGTTGCATAGCCGAGCGTGCGGGTGGATGGCATGTGCAGCTCAAATCAAACTAATGATGCAGCTGAGCGCTATTTGCGCCGGAGGCCTCATGAGACGACGAAGCATAATACCCTCCCACCACTTCCTGGTTCCAGGGACGCAGGAATATCGTTTTCTTATTCTGACTATTGTTCTGGTTCTTGGTATTCTTTCAGGTCTTGTTCTCAAGTTCCCCTTTCGTGATGGTGCCTTGGGGGCTTCAAACCCGGCTCCAATCCAATCCACCCACTAGAGTAACTTCCACGTTTGCTGTGTTTGTTGGAGTTCAATAGGGAATCAACAATATGAACCAATGGGTTAAGGCATGTTGCACTGCTCCTAGCTTGAACCCAAACATGAAACCTCAAAAGAACAAAGCTCATCCGAAGCGGCCGCAGTTCTTTTTACCGGGATTGCTGAAAGTAGCACTGCTTCCAGGGCACTGGTGCGCCTGGAACAGGAGGCACATTGACCCCCCGAAATGTGAAAAGGCAAGACAATGCGTGTCCTTGCATATAAATGCAGTGCTTGAGGGGCGCGGCATGCGTGCCCACGCCCCAAGGTCCGGAGACCGAAAGTCCGCAGACTCAAGGTCCGGAGACCAAGGTTGGTCCGGAGACCTGGTCCGGAGACCAAAAGGCCCGGAGGCCACCCATGAAAGTGCAGAGCGTCTGCTACCTATACCTGCAGAGCCTGGTATAGGGCAGTGCAGGGTGGGTGGGTGGGTTTCAAAATGAAACCGCAGGTTTGGGTCAAGGCTAGGAGCAAAACGGCCAACGCGTAGTTCGATTCACAACATGCCCTAAACACAAGGGAAAAGAAACCCTAAGCGTTAAGGCATGTTGCACTGCTCCTAGCTTGAACCCAAACATGAAACCTCAAAAGAACAAAGCTCATCCGAAGCGGCCGCAGTTCTTTTTACCGGGATTGCTGAAAGTAGCACTGCTTCCAGGGCACTGGTGCGCCTGGAACAGGAGGCACATTGACCCCCCCTTCAGTGTTTCAGGCAACCCCGGTATAAGCGAGCCCGCTGGGCCGCAGGCCTCATCACCCGCCCTTCAGAGTGGGGTTGTACCTGGCAGGGCAAATGCTAGCATGACCATGCACGCTGGGCTGTGAGCAGCCTGTTACGCTGTGTCTGCACTTTTTTCGGTCAGAGCGGCTTGAGTAAGCGACGATGGCCATTTGGTCGCAAGGCATGTCGGGATGCAAATCAGGCTGGTGAAGCAGTGACGGAGGCTGCTGCCAAATGCTCCGGGCGCCAGGGCGCATGCATCGGACACAGTTGAATGCCTCGGCCTGACATCGCTAGGCTTGCAGGGCTGAAGCGTATGCGACTTTCTGGGCGATGGCTGAATCGGGCCAACCGACCTCTGCTGAGATCGTCAGCCCAATCGTTGCACCTTCCTGGAACGTGCGTCGGCTGCAGCAGCACATTGTGAGCGTGAGCCCAGAAGGCTGTTAATTGCACGAAGAGTTGCAACGGCCAGGAGGTCGTGAACAACTTGTTAAGGCTTGCTTCCGTGGCGGAATTGTCTGTGCCTGAAGGCATGCTAAACGAGTAGTGCCCACCACCAATGTGGCTGTGGGTTGCTTGCAGTAGTGCTAACTGTGCCAGCGTCTCGAAGCATGCGATGTACCGCTGTCCAGGCTTGACAAGGCAAGGCCACACGGCTCTTATGTCTTGCATGTTCCAGGTCTCGGCAAACCAAACTACTTGGGAGGATGTGATTGCCCAGCCCCCGATCCCTACCAAATCGTCTTCGGCACACGCATCCGCGGCAGCCAGAGCTTGCAGCTGGTGTGGCCGCGCCAAAGGCTGAACAGGCGAGTGCCGAAAGCACGACGCCAGCCAAGTAAGGCATTGTTGGCTGGACTTGGAAAGGCTAGTGTATGGGTTGTTGGGGTCCGCGATGCGCACCCATGTGGGCTTGCTAGTGCCAGGCACTTGCGGGATGTCCTGAGGGCAGTGCGTGGTGCGGCCTGAAATTTCCAAGATTTTGGAGCCCACTGTGATCCACAAGCCCGGGAGGCTATGGCTAGTTTTGAGATCCTTGTTCAAGGATGCTCTAAAGGCTGACCACATTTGAGGCGGTATCGAGCGCATCGAGCCTGGTGGGCTGTTCAGGTCCGAGTACAGTGGCGCTAGCCAGGAATGCTGGTGGCCCAGATAAGCAGGCCTATGCACTGCTCGAGTGTTTTGCGGGGTACCCGTCGGTTTCCCAGCAGTGATTTGATCAAGGCGTCCAGCTTGGTTAGCTTAGCGGACACGAGCTGAATGGTGTCGTGGGAGAAGTTGATCTCCCAACCGCAGGCCAGCAACCCATGCACCTGACGAAGCAAGAATGCGCCGGTGCGCTGCCACCAGAAGGCCGAGAAACGGCCCCAAAATGGCACACTCTGTAATGGTAGAGCTTTCCTTGAAAGGCGAAGAGTAGAAGGCCATGCTCTTCAGGGCGGACTTGCACCTGTTTGTGTGCGGCTTTAAAGTCAATGCTGGCGCCTATGAAGGCGCCTGGAGTGTCTTCTGGCTGCGTGGACAGCGCCAGGTCTGATGCCATTGGCAAGCTCAGGCGCTCGCACACGGTGCGGTCCAAGACAAGGCGCGGCTCTTTCCCTTCTGCAAAAACGACATTTAACTTGCCTACGGCAATGCCTAAGGGCCATTTTTCCCGAGCGTCGGCTATGCTAAGGCTGGTTTCAACAATCCAGTTGTTGGCAATTTCCTTGCGCAGCAAGTCTTGCACGGTTTCTGGCTCGTCTTCGGCCATCTTCCAGTTGCCCTCACAAATTTCCAGATCCGGCGGCAGCGCGGAGTCTGGCTTTTTTGCCGGCCATTGAAGGCTGGGCGGCAAGGCTGACACGGCTCCTGTCGGTACTCCGTGTTGCAAAAATGGCAGGAGGGCCATGTCTGGGTCACCCCAAGATTTGGCCAGGGCCTGCAGCAGGTGGAGTCGGTATGGCTGTCCTGCCTCGGGGCTCATGTCTGAAGGGCAGGGCAGTTTTAGAGCGGTGTATGCTAGAGTTGCCACTTCCAGGCTTTCGGACGGCGAGACGGGGCAGTCCAGAGAACCGCTTTTGATGTGTGCCAGGATTCGTGGCACCAGTTTGCGCTCATGCATCCAATGCAGCCAGGGCCTGGCGACTGCTTGCAGCGGGTGTTCTGGTTTGGGACAACACCAATCTGCGGAGGAGTGCATTCCTGCTCCGTCGCAGGTGGGGAGCCTGCAAGGCGCCAGTGTGATGGGTCTGGAGAAATTGGAGTGCAATGGCAGCGCTTGTCGGAAGGAGCCTGTTTTGCTGACCCTTCCTATGCCTACCTGGGCCAGTTGCAGGGCCAGGGAAGGAGGGTATTCAGCGGTCAGGGTGCTGAGGTACACCCCTTGTTCTTTCACGCCTGCAATGCTTTGATGCTTGTATGAGTGATTGCAGCGAGCCTCCAGGGCTTGTATTTTCGAACTGTTGCAGCCGAACGCCCATGACTTGGAGAAGGCTCCAGCCAGGACATGGCTGATGGCGGCTGTTCCCAAGTGCCAACGCCTCCTTTGGAGACCACTGCTCTGAACAGGGCTCTACCACGGTCGTGGATGGTCTTGCTATCCAGCAGTTTTTTACGCTGCGCAGGCGAAAGGCCGGGGACCCCGTCCATGTACTGCGGCGTTCTCAAGGTTTGGGCCCGCCCGGGCGTAGTTTGAGTCTGGAGTATTCTTTGCAAGGCGGGGCAAGCATGATCAGGGCCACGATTCCTGACCAGCAGAGTCTGAGAAGGGCCTCAAAGACTTCGTCATCCAGGATGTCGTGCGCAGTGTCTCCATCTAGGTCAAAAGGCTCGAAGCAGTCAAGGCCAAGGCTAATGGCGGCCGACGTCACTGGGTGCAGCCTACCTGCAAACACGTCCAAAAAGAGCCGCTTTGAGGCTGGGTGCAACGGTGAGTCTGACAAGCTTGCCTGGGCAGGCGTGTGTGGCCTTGGCCAAGCGCTTGGCTCGCTACGGTGCTGGAGTCAGGGCAGTTTCCCCTGGCACACGCAATGGTGAAGACGGCGCATGAGGCCCGCCGTGGGGCAAGGCCGGCGGAGGCATGGCTGCCCGATCCTGCGCCGGTCCAAGATCCGGGCTGTTTCACGTGTGTTTATTGTGATCCATGGCGGGGTGCTTGCTGGCAGCCTACTATGGCGCACACGTGGGCGAAAGGGCACTGGTCATTAGTGCAACTGCCCGTCTGGTAGCGCCGGCAGACCTCGCGCCCTTTATAGGTAGTGCACCACTCTGCCTTGGGCTTTGGCGAAGGCGAGGCTCCTTTGCGCTTCCCCTTGCCTTTCTTGGTAGGGCGTGAAGGCGTGCGGGCTGGCTTAAGGTCGCGCTTGGATCCCCTTTGCCTTGGTGTTGCAGGGCGTGGTGGTGCTGGCACGGATGGCTTGGACATTTTAGGGCGCAGCTGTAGGAGGCTGCGCACATCGTTTCTCATGTGCGTCAGCTCGTACAAGGCATCATCCAGGGAGCATTGCTGCCCTAGAAGGTCGGATATGGCTGCCCAGAGCTTGCGATCAGCTGACAGAAGCTCTTGGGCGTTCACCGTACGAAGGCCTAGGTTAGGATCTGGCTGTGTGAGACACAGGTCGGCTATTTTCTTGTCGAAGGCCTTGAGGTTCGACAGGTGCGCTGCTTGGCACAGGGCCAGGGCGTTGCGAAACACGGTCTGGATGCGGCTGAGCCACCCCGAGCGGTGCTCCACGGACACCTCCGGTGTGTCGTCAAAGAAGGCCTGACTCAGGAGCTGTAACTCTGAGCGCACTGCTCGGGCCGACTTTGCTTCCATGCGTTCCTGGTACTGCCGTGATGAAAGGCGATACTGCCAGGGCACCCACTTCAGGGACTGCCCGGGCTTCAGG